TGTCTGGTGTTTTCTGGACAGTCTTCAGTACAGAGTTGCCCTGTCACTAAGCTGTATCTGAAGCTCTTCTCTGAGGGCTGCCATCATCTGAGTTAAGTTTGGTGAGAACAATCAGAGAAAAATAGAGATGTCTTGGTGGTGGTGCCATGCCTATGGAAGACTTCAGGTGAATAATATTGTATTTACCCAGAATTGTAACCTCCTAAAGTATTAAGATTTGTCATCTAGATTATGAAGAAGTTTTCATGTGGATTATGCAATTGGGAAATCCCGGTGAAAAGTAACTGCTTCCACCACGTGTTGTGACTCTTGTAGCCAATGCTTCTTGTGAGCTTGGCAATGTGGTACAGACCATCAGCTGAGCCTGGATGAGGCTAGTGGTTTGTGTCTGCATTACTGATCTGTAAAGAGCAAAACACAAATGTCTTTCTTGCTATTCTTGTTTAAAGGATTATTGTGCAGATAACAATCAAGTGTCACTAGCAAATGTTCCATAAGTTAGTCAATGCCTCAGTGGATATTCTGGGAGTATCATCCTTAATTTCAGGGAAAGGTAAAGGATTCCTCTTGACATTAAGTCTAGTCATGTCCAACTCTTGTTGGGGTGTGTGCTTATCTCCATTTCTAAGCCAAAGAGCTGGTGTTGTCCATAGACACCTCCAAGGTCATGTGTCCGGCATGGAGTGCCGTTACCTTCCTGCACGAGTGGTACCTATTGATCTACTCAAATGTTGCATGTTTTTGAACTGCTAGGTTGGCAGAATCATAGAATCATAGAGTTGGAAGAGACCTCATGGGCCATCCAGTCCAACCCCCTGACAATAAGCAGGAATATTGCATTCAAAGCACCCCTCCCTGTCAGATGACCACCCAGCTTCTGTTTAAAAGCTTCCAAAAAGGAGCCTCCACCACACTCCAGGGCAGAGAGTTTCACTGCTGAACGCCTCTCATAGTCAGGAAGTTCTTCTTCATGTTCAGAAGGAATCTCCTCTCTTGTAGTTTGAAGCCATTGCCTAGTCTCCAGGGCAGCAGAAAACAAATTCGCTCCCTCCTCCCTGTGAGTTCCTCTCACATATTTATACATGGCTATCATGTCTTCTCTCAGCCTTCTCTTCTGCAGGCTAAACATGCCCAGCTCCTTAAGCTGCTCCTCATAGGGCTTGTTCTCCAGACCCCTGATCATTTTAGTCACCCTCCTCTGGACACATTCCAGCTTGTCAATATCTCTCCTCAATTGTGGTGCCCAGAATTGGACACAAACTGGGGCTAACAGCAGGAGCTCACCCCGCTTCCTGGATTTGAATCGCTGACCTTTTGGTCAGCAAGTTCAGCAGCTCAGTGCCATTTTGAGGGAAGTGGTATATATATAAAGGTTACATCATACTTAAAGTTTACCAGATGAACTAAAGAGAATTTGGCCTGTTTGTAATCCTTGAGGGGCAGGGGAGTGTGTCTGAATTGTTGTGTTTACTTTTTCAGAGGGAAATAGATTCATTCTTTTTTGATCTGAAAAGATGATCCTAGAATTAGATTGTGAACAGACGGGGATAATAAGTGTTTGAATAAATCATCATGTTAATAGAAACAGAAGAGCCAGAGAGAAGTAGGGAATGAGTTGGGTTTTTCTTTTTAAAAAGCAAGGAACAGATGTAACATAAAGTGAGTGGATTATTCTATTAATTAGTATAAAGAAAATTCAAGGGAGAGCGCATTAGAGAGTCCCTTGCTAGAGCAGCCCGTCTAGTGAAGGAAGGGTGTGCCATTAATAAATGTCTTGCATTTAAGAGGTACAGCTAGAAAGCTTTATGCTCTCTGTACCTCACTGACATTAGTTCAATTTAACATTGGCCATACTTCATTTGCTATTGCATTGCTGATTATCCAGTATTACCCCCCCCCCCCTCAAATGCGGTGCCTTTCCCAACCGCTAAACATCCATCTGTCACTTACGGTCAGTCCTGAAATGTTTATTGCACTGCAGTATTAAGCTCATATGGTAGCTGGCACTGCCTGCTATTTTTAAAGGCTTGTTTTCCTCTCATTGTCATTTCTCACAACAGATTTTCTCTTTGGGAAGGATTGGGAATGTCTGTTGTGTCTCACTGTAAGCTGAAAGTTGCATTAATCTTTACGTCAGTGTGTAAAGGGATCTTGTAGCTTCAACTCCCAGAATTCCTGACAATTGAACAAGCTTGTTAGGGCTTCTGGGAGTTGGAGGCCCAAACAGCTGGAGGGCCGCAGTTTGGGGATGCCGTTGTAGCACCTTAGAGACTTACTGAGATAACTTAGTTGGTAGCATAAGCTTTTGTAAACATAAGAGTGCATTGGCCCTGTAGAAGTAGATGCACCTTAAATGTACTTTCTAAGATGCATAGCATGAACTACATCCAAGGAAGTCCATGGTCATTAAAAAGTTTATAAATGTTTTGGTGTTATATATAAGCCAAAGAGATCACTTCATGATAAAGTGTGAAAGCAATAGTTGTCAGGTATCAAATATTCCTCTTTTTTTCAAAGGTTTCTCTGTGTTTGAACCAGAGTAAAAAATAAGCAATTAAATTTAATAAATGAGCGTATTTATACCCAGCTTTCCAACCACAAGGCTTTCGGAATGTCTTACAGACTCTTGATTTCACAATTCCCTGCCCTTAACCTTACAGTCTAAATAACACAAGGAAAAGGAAAAGGCAGTGGGGACGGGGGTTAAGTCCAGTAGATATTACTAGATCTTCTCTCCTTCTAAAGCAGTGGTTCTCTAGATATTTTGGCCTTCAACTCCCAGAAATCTAACAGCTGGTAAACTGGCTGGGATTTCTGGGAGTTGTAGGCAGAAACACCTGGGGACCCACAGTGTGAGAACCACTGCTCTAAAGCCAGGGCAATTGTGGTCAGGATAGAAAAAAAAACTTTCATTGGCATCTGGACCTATTTATTTATTTATTTATTTACTATATTTATATACCATCCCTCTCAGCCCGTAAGTGACTCGGGGCGGTTTACAGTTGGTGCCAAGACCATAAAATACAATTTCAATACAATAAAAACAATCACATAATAAAACCATAACAAAATCAATAAAAACATGAACATTAGGGTCTCCTATTAAAAACATTGTCCAATCACATCATCAACCATTCCATTTTCCTATGTCTGTTACACTGTATTTGGAAATGCCTGCTCAAAGAGCCAAGCCTTGACTCTCTTTCAAAATGTTAAAAGGGAGGGGGCTAATCTAATGTTCTTAGGGAGGGCATTCCATAGCCGAGGGGCCACCACTGAGAAGGCCCTGTCTCTCGTCCCCGCCAGCTGTATATGTGACAAAGGGAAGACTGAGAGCAGGGCCTTCCCAGATGATCTTAAAGTCCTGGAGGGTTCATAAGGGGATATGTGTTTGGACAGGTAAGTTGGTCCAGAACTGTTTAGGCATAATGGCGATGTGTTTGCCTCTCCTTCTCTCCTGTCACAAAGAGGGTAGTGACAGTTGGGATGGAGGGACGCCTTTAATCTGTCTCTTTGCCAAGGCATGATGGAGCTAAGCCTGCCTCTTCCATTGTTCTCCCAAGGCCAAAAGAATGCTGTTTGGAAATAGAAAGAGCCTTTGTTTCTGGGTCTAGACATGATGGAGCTATGTATGTCTTTTCTTCCGCAGTCAGGGCAGCAGTAGTTGAGATAGATGGGAGGTGCTTCTTGGCTTAGACTCCAAAAGTTACATTTTTGAAAGTCACTCTTTGTTCTTTCCCTCCCTGAAATAAATGTAATGAATGAGAAACATGGAAGTACTGGAATCTATAAGCTGGTGCCTCTTCCCTTCAGCTTCTTTATTACCACAGCACAGGCACATCATGAACTACTATTGAACCTTATAGTTTTTCTCTTCCACTATTGAACTTACAGTAGCATTGTCAAATGGTGCAAAGTTGTTCCTCCCCAGGAATGCAGTTGAAGCTAGGGTGGTGAGGGCACTCTCCTCCATAAGAATTTGCTGCTCCGCATGAAAGTACCTTTTAGTCCTCAGATTTTTGCCATAGGAAACTTCTTCACAGCTAGAACTCTTATATTTGATTGATAACTTTGCTACCCCCTTTTATATACCTGAATAGCACTTCTAAATGGACCTTTATAAGTTACTGCAATGCTAGAAATTTGGAGACTAAATGAAACATTATTGGAGGTGGTGGGAGATCTTATTTGGGAAGGGGCAATGCCCTCATTGCCACCCAGTAGCTACACCCTCACATACCTTTTAAAGTTAGAGTTTGAATATACCTATTTTTTAGTTGGCGCTGCGGGTTAAGATTGGCGGTTCAAATCCAGGGAGCAGGGTGAGCTCCCACAGTTAGCCCCAGCTTCTGCTAACCTAGCAGTTTGAAAACATGCAAATGTGAGTAGATCAATAGGTACTACTTTGGTGGCGCTCCATGAAGTCATGCTGGCCACATCATCTAGGAGGCTACTATGGACAATGCTAGCTTTTGGTCTTAGAAATGGAGATGAGCATCACCCGCCAGAGTCAGATATGACTAGACTTAATGTCAAGGGGAAACCTTTACCTATTATTTAGTTGTTAGAAAAGGGACTGACTGCAGGTAGCTGTGTGCTTTAAATGGAATGCATTCATCTGTGTGTAAGTACCTTAAAGTTATCACTGACTTATAGCAGTCCCATTAATTTGATCATTTTTTTTGGCAAGGAATACGGTGATGCTTTACTGTTGTCTCTTTCAGAAATATAGCCACATATCCTAAAAATGAGCTGCTAGTTTCACATTGTCATGTTTCTCACCACCAGGTGGCGATATCTGAGGCAAAATAGTCACCAGTGCTTTTTTGAGCAGTGCATATTCTCTTGCCCAAGGGCTTCATGTTCATTAAAATCCTTGCAATGTTTTGTTCCAAATAGCTTGCCTCACAAGTATCTCTTGTGGAAGCCAGATTGCTGTAAAGTTTAAAGATCACCAGACTGTCTTTGACTCAATGCACTTCTTTTGCCTCTCTTTTCAGTAACCCCAGAGTACAAGTTGCAGCAATTGAGGGAGGTGCTTTGCAAAAATTGCTGGTTATTTTGGCTACAGATCAGTCTCTGGCTGTGAAGAAAAAGGTAAGAGGGCAGCAGTGTACAGTTGACCCCTCTTCTCGGAGCTCTATGTATACATGCATTCTGAATTGTAATTTTTAGCTGATCTTTCTAGAAACACAATGTGCATTGGCCTCAGTAGATCTGAAACAGTAGTTCCCAACCTTTGGTCCTCCTGATGTTTTGGACTTCAGCTCCCAGAATTTCTGGGACTTTTGGGAGTTGGAGTCCCAACACACGTGGAGACCACAGGTTGAAGCTTAATGACTAAAGTGATATTGTGTGTATGGCTGTGAACCCAGTAATTAGGCAAAGGCACTGGATCAGAGTCTGTCCTGAAATTAAGAAGGCTTAGACATTTGTGTGCTTGATGACATATTTAATTTTTCACCAAGTTTTGCCTGAAGTTCAGATCTGAGCTGGCCCTTCCATTGAGTACATCGAGGAAACTGCCCTAAATGGCAGGACCTAGGGGATAGTCTTGCATTTCCCCAGCTATTCTTCATGGCTGCACTCACCTCCTTTCCTTTTTGTGGGGGACAGCAATTATATATCTCATATGGCCTGTCCTACACCCCTAAACTAGTCTGCCATTCTCAGATATGATAGAAGATGTTATTTTGTCACCAGCAGTGGTGTCTCATGGCTTCCAGGTCAGAAGATTGGTGAATCTGGGTTTTAAAAGGGTGGTTCAAGATACTGAGCTGATGTTGGCACCTTAGATTGTGCTTTTAAAATTAGGGCTAAACCCAGAGTTCAATAAGGGAAGTAAGACATGCATGATGTTGTCCTTTGCCTCAGGCAACAAGATGTTTTGGCTTATCCCTAGGGCAGGTGTAGTGTTGACCACAAAGGATAGCATTCCATAAGTCAGATACCCATATCTAAGTCATGCTATGCCTGCAGGGCAAAGTATTTGCCATAATGTAACAGACATATTCTGCTAATAGCAGCAGAAACAAAGTTGAACATACAGCAACACTGTACATTGTGGCTATGTTTTGTGCATTTTGCACTATGGAGTTCACGTTGAGCAATGACACCTAGTCATTGATATGTGTTGTGCGATGTGATTGTTCTGCATGAAGATTGTGTTCAGTACAATCCCATATAATAATAATAATAATAATAATAATAATAATAATAATAATAATTTAAAAACTTTATTTGTAACCCGCTCTATCTCCCGGGGGGGGGGGGGGGCGGACGCTCAGGATGGTTTCTAGGCAGAAAGTGGCAAACATTCAATGCTATAATAAACAAACAAACCAAATCAAAACAATAAATAAATAAAATAGCATCAGTAAAACTTATAATGACTAACCAAACAAATAAGTAATTCAAAACAAACAAACCTCATAATACACATTTATATCATAATAAGATCTAAATAATTAAAGTGCCTTAGAAGTATAAAATGATGATGAAGATGTTATATAAAATAATGATGTACAACAGCCAACAGCATCAGGGTAGATTTCCAGTATCCAAACAAGGTTACATATTAAAATGTTCTAGTCTTCCTCCTTTCCATAGGCTATGGTGCAAAGATGGGTTTTACGTCTTGGGGAGGGAGTTCCAGAGGTGGAGGGTGATCACGGACAAGGACTCCTCTCTTGTTCCCACCAACCGCACTTGAAATGGGGGTGGGACCGAGGGTAGGGCTTCCTCTGTTGACCACAGTGTCGGTTTTGGTTTATATGCAGAGATGCAGTCAGTTAAATAACCTAGGCCCGAACTGTTTAGGGACCGAGAGCAGGGCCTCATCCACTGACCTCAGTATCCATGTTTGTTTATATTCAGAGATGCGGTTAATTAAATAGCCTGGGCCTGAACCGTTTAGGGCCTTATTGGTAATAACCAGCACTTTCTATTTAGCCTGGAAGCAGACCAGCAGCCAGTGGAGCGGCTGCAACATCAGAGTACTTCTTTTCATATGCGGCATTCCAGTTAGTAACCTGACTGATGTCTGAAGTAGTTGAAGCTCCCAAACTATCTTAAAAGTCAGCCCCACATAGAGAGCATTGCAGTAGTCTAAATGAGATGTAATTAAGGTGTGGACTACCATGGCTAGATCTGGCGTCTCACAGAGAAGGACCCCTCTCATGTTCCCACCAACCGTGCTTGAGACCGGGGTGGGACCGAGAGCAGGGCCTCCTCTGCTGATTGCAAGTTTTGCTTTGATTTATATGCAGAGATGTGGTTAGTTAAATAGCCTGGGTCTGAACCGTTTAGGCCTTATAGGTAATAACCAGCATGTTATATTTAGCCTGGAAGCAGACCGGCAGCCAGTGGAGCTGCTGCAACATTGGAGTAGTTTGCTCCCTATGTGACGCTCCAGTTAATAACCTGGCTGACGATCTCTGAACCAGTTGAAGTTTCCAAACTATCTTCAAAGGCAGCCCCATGTAGAGAGTGTTGCAGTAGTCCAAATGGGCTGCAACTAAGGTGTGGACTTTAATGGCTAGATCTGGTGTATCAAGGTATGGACGCAGCTGGCACACAAGTTTTCATTGTGTAAAGGCGCTCCTGGCCACCGCTGACACCTGAAGTTTATTGAAATGATAATTTCAAACAGGAACTTTATTACATGTGTTGGTGTATAAATGAACTGAGTTACATTTATTGGGGTATAATATTCTTAATAATAATAATAATAATAATAATAATAATAATAATAATAATAATTTTAGCTCCTGCAAGGAGAAGTTACTTTTTTCTATCACAGTTCCCAGAATTCCTCAGTAGCATGTCTACTGGCATATCTGGTTGGCAGCTTTGGAGAGCTGTCATCTAGCAAAGTTAATGTTTCTAAGCTCTGGTATGATGTGTTTGAAACCAAAAATGGGATGCACACGATCTAGAAGTGGTGATTGATGGCAGACAATTCAATCTAGCACCCGCTGAGTAAAGTTTTATGGTGAGATTATATCATTCAGGTGCAAATGGCTTCACAAAATTCATGTTCTGCTATTGCTCAGACTTGCAGTAGTGAAGAATTCAGTACAAAAATATAGATTATATTGTAAGAGCTCCCTTGCATTTTATAGAAGCATATATTTTCCTACTAGCAAAACAGAGCCACTTAATCAATTCAGATTAAATTTGATGGTATTACTTAGTGATTGAAGGTCTAAGGTCATGCTGTTTTGATCTCAGGCCCAATTTTCCACCTTTCCAGTAAGGCCCATCCTCCTCCTGTGATACAGTTTGTGTGTTGATCAACAAAGTTCAAAATTCCCCATAGTAAGGGAGGATATGATTGCTACCTGGTGTGTTTATATCAGGGCTTTAGTAAAGAAGGATTCCTATTTTCTGGCATGCTTTATTAATATGCTTTGCTGTGGTCCTTCAAGTGCACGTTCCAATTATCTTTAGTCCTTATATTCTGCTAATTGAATTCATTCTTCAGCATGCTTTAGCTACAGTGTGTGTATAATACTAATATCTACCACATTTCAAGCATTCAGTGTTCTTCAGGATCAAGGACTAAATTGTTCTAGTGAACAGTCAGCATATGAGGTTGGTTGACGAAAACATTGCTTTGCTAGACTTCTCAGTTGTATTTGGCATTATTCCCCAGTAGTAGAGAACCTCTGTCCCTGAGGATACTTTAATACATCACTCTCAATCCTTACCATTAAGGATGTTTCTATGAGAACTAGATCTTCTGGGTCGTTGAACTAAAAAAAAAAAAGAGTGTCCAAACGTTGTTGACCTTTCATAGATCACCACATTATTTTATTTTAAAGGTTTGTTTCAGAGGGATTGTTGTGTACCTTCAAGTAGTTTCCAACTTGGGGTGACTCAAAGACAAAATCTATCAGAAGTCTTTTTTCAAAGGGGCTTTGCTTTTGCTTCTCTCTGAGAAAGTGACTTCTCAGAGTGAGTTTTCATATCAAACCACAGATCTGAATCCAGTTCTCCAGAGTTGTAGTGTAGTGCTCAAGCCATTATACCATGGTATTTGAGAGTGAGATATATATCTATATATATAAATCTGTTAGGTTGGTTCAACGGGATAGCAAAACTCCACAACCCCCCAACAAAACTGCACCAAAATTGCCATGCCCATAGCACAACCCACAAGGTACAAACATATCTACTCAAAATGAAAAACAACACAACAACACACTCACAAAACGGCAAAACAACAAAACTCACCCCCCCCAACGAAACTTAACCAAAATTCCCATGCCCATAACACAACCCACAAGGTACAAACATATCTACTCAAAATGAAAAACAACACAACAACACACTCACAAAACGGCAAAACAAAAAACTCAAAAAACCCCAACGAAACTTAACCAAAATTGCCATGCCCATAACACAACCCACAAGGTACAAACATATCTACTCAAAATGAAAAACAACACAACAACACACTCACAAAACGGCAAAACAACAAAACTCAAACCCCCAACGAAACTTAACCAAAATTCCCATGCCCATAACACAACCCACAAGGTACAAACATATCTACTCAAAATGAAAAACAACACAACAACACACTCACAAAACGGCAAAACAACAAAACTCAAAAAACCCCCAACCAAACTTAACCAAAATTCCCATGCCCATAACACAACCCACAAGGTACAAACATATCTACTCAAAATGAAAAACAACACAACAACACACTCACAAAACGGCAAAACAACAAAACTAAAAAAAACCCACACGAAACTTAACCAAAATTCCCATGCCCATAACACAACCCACAAGGTACAAACATATCTACTCAAAATGAAAAACAACACAACAACACACTCACAAAACGGCAAAACAACAAAACTCCACAACCCCCAACGAAACTGCACCAAAATTCCCATGCCCATAACACAACCCACAAGGTACAAACATATCACTCAAAATGAAAAACAACACAACAACACACTCACAAAACGGCAAAACAACAAAACTCAAAAAAACCCCAACCAAACTTAACCAAAATTCCCATGCCCATAACACAACCCACAAGGTACAAACATATCTACTCAAAATGAAAAACAACACAACAA